CACAACTGTAAGCCTCCTTTTGCCCCACTCTGTATGTGTTCAACATGTACTTGTCCTTTGAATGGATACATTATCTATCCTGGATGCCTTTATAGCCTACTGGTAACCACGGCTGTAACACAAATAATGACAGTGTTAAGATCATGCCTTTGGGTGGCAGAGGGTCTGATCTGGGTTTAGTTCCATTTTTGCTACTTAGTAGCTCAGTGACTTTGGACACATAGTTTCTCCATTCATAAGATGCAATTTATTGGCATTGTGAGAATCAAATGTAAAATGTATGTAAATCTTTGAGCATGGAGATATTATTTTTCTTAGTCCTATAGTCCACTGTCAATGTTCAGCTATTTTAATAATCTAGCGTTACATCCAAAGCACACCAAATACCAAGCTGATGCCAACAGTATGCAATTTTAGAGCCTTAATTGGACTATTTAATAAGTCCCAGCAGGGGTCACCACCCACCTAGGACTCTTCATTTGCAACATAAAATAAGGGCCTTTGCTTAAAACAAATCCCTTTTCTCCTCCCTGATCCACCCTCCATTGCACCCAGTATTGAAAATTCCAATTAAAAATTATCCAACATAAAAAATTTTAATGAGCGTGAGCTGTGTGTGTCAGAGCTGCTTGACCAATTAGCCTGGAAGACCATATTTTCCCTCTGGAAATCTACTTTTTAATTCATAAAATGGCTCCTTTTTAATCAACTTTTTCCCAGTACCCCTTCATGGGAGCTGTGCCCACTCTTGAGCTCTACCGCACTTTGGTAATACTCCTGGAGGTGCCCTCTGTACCCCACTGCTCGGCTATAGCCACTCTGGCCAAATCTCTCCCATTGGACTGCAGCGCCCTCCAGGTGTGCGTCCTGCTCAAAGTAGATACTGAATCAGAAGTTAACAATGGAGGTGGGAGAGGAAGACTGGAGGGGCCAGGTGAAAGGACTGAGGGCAGCAACTCAAAGTTTCCTTCACTTCTCCTACCAGGTCCAAAGGATAGGCTAAGAAGGACAATGCACAGTTTCAGAGGAAGAAGAAGGAGCCCCAGTAAAAGTGGGCCCAAGTCAAGGAAATCTAGGAACTTTGATTCCATCACTTGCCAAACAACATAGCAATTGCATGGTCCTTAATGTCCTCCCCTTCTTGCTTCTGGAAAATACACAGCACATACTAAGGACTCAAAAAATAGCTGTTGAATAAATGAAAGCTTCTTCTTTTCATTTCTTTGTCAGCCTTTTGTTTGTTTGTTTTTTTGTTTGTTTCATTTTGGCTGCCCTAACCCCATTTCTCTACCTTTCCCCTCACTGCCCCAATACAGAAAATTATTCCCCCCTTCTTCCTTCCTCCCTTTATCCATCCCTCCCTCCCTGTCTCTCATCACTAACTCCATCTATAAAAATGTGTGTGTGTGTTATTATTTCTAGTTTCCAGAGGAAAAAAACAAAAAGTTCAAAAGCCCAAAACCAGGTACCAAAGATCACACAGCTAGGAGCAAGAGCTATGTAGCAGATAATGTCAAACTGCCCAGATCTCCAAGCCACAGTGTGCTTCCCACCCAGGAGCCAGTCCCTGAGACTTTGCCAGGCAGCTGCCCCAGGATGCTGGAGTTCACTTTGTCAGTGGACAAGGAGTCTGAAGTGCCTCAAGTTTAAGCCTCCCCTCATCACCACCACCCCGGGGAGTGGGGGGTAAGAGCTCTTAACTAATGATTGACAGGTATAAGGGCATAAAGACTACAGCTCCCTGGACCACAATGGGGGCAGCTGTCCTGTGTGACCCCCACTGTCTCCAAATCTGCCCCAGTGATTAAGCCAACTGACCCTCAGCAGACTTCCCTTGATGCTGCACCCCATGTGGCCTCCACCCCTTCCCGTCCATCTTCCCTACTCCAGGACCAGTGTTCCTTGGAAACCCTCCTAATAAATCCCATTCATACTATAGGGGTTCGAACAGGATTCCCCAAATTGCCTCTTCACTCTGGCATGTGAATTACTGCATTTTGCCATGTATAAGGCACTCCCATGTATAATGCACACCCACGTTTTTGGCCCAAATTTTCAAGAAAGAAGTCTTTCATTTTAATTCAGAATAAAACCAATATTATATTTAGAAACAGAACCAATTATTATATTTCAGGATATTATTTTGCACACTGATATTGTTATTGCTTTCTAAAGTTACACTTTTGATGCATAAGCATAAATACAAGAATTAAAAACATTTATATAGATAGGCAATTCTATATGGATACAGTGTTCTACCCAGGTACAATGCACATCCTTATTTTTACCACAAAAATTGGGGCAAAAAAGTGCACATTATACATGGCAAAATATAGTACCAGTACTTTGAGCTGCAGGTAATTAAGATTCTGCAGTCACACAAGAAACTTTACCTCTCCCTTAAAGAATTTGAATTAGGGGTCTTGCCCATAAAAGTTGTCACCAAGAAAATAACATTTTATGATCTATTTATAGGACAGGGAAAACTACTAATTACTGAACATCTACTCTTCTTATTGTCCCTCCGGAGCCTCCAAGGCACACTAACTTATCCTGAGCTCAAAATGGCATATACACTTATTTTAACTTTCTGCCCCTGAACCTCTTATGTATGTGTACATACACAATTAAATTTGGTTATTTTCTCTTGAAAATCTGTCTCATTTAGATTTGATTATGGCCAAGACAAAAAAAAACAAAAAACAAATTGAAGGGTAGAGGAAACTTTCCTTCTCCCCCCACAAATCCTCATCTCAAGTGCTTCCCCTGAAGAACCCAGCCTAAGACAAAGTAAATGCAGAATTCAAGCCCAATCCTTTCGGGCCTCCCAATTTTTTCCACTGTGTGATGCCTGAGATGCTGCTGCAGTCCAGTGAGACTGCTCATCATTAATTTTACAATCATTTTAAAAATTAAATGGCCCTTGTAGTTTCAGGTACCTTAGAGACAAATATGTGTTCAAACTCTCTATGTTTGCTTATTTCTTCTTTGTACTATAATTTATGTTTCTGAGACAAAAGACCTTTGAATATCTTAGAAAAATGAAATAAGCTGACTCCAAGAAACAAAGGTTTTTTTTGTACCTTTCCTACACCTGGATCCATAATTAAATGCATTTTATCCTTTTAATGTGATCCCCTTTAAAAATAATAAACCAGTCAGAGGAAGACAAGTACCATATGATTTCATTTATATATGGAATCTAGTGATGAACAAAATAAACTAACAAACAAAATGGAAACAGACTCATAGACAGAGAACAGATTGACAGCTGTCAGAGGGGAGTAGGGTTGGGGCACTGGGTGAAAAAGGTAAAAAACAACCTCATAGACACAGGCAACAGCATGGTGATTACCAGAGGGAAAGTGGGTGAGAGAGGTTGAAGAGGGAATAAATGGTGATGGAAGGACTTGATTTGGGGTGGTGAACACAATACAGTACACAGATGATGTGTTATGGAATTGTACCCCTGAAACCTACATAATTTTATTAACCAATGTCACCCCCAATGACTTCAATATAATTTTTAAATAGAAAAATATATATTTTATTATGTAAATAATATAACCACATTAGAGAAATTTTAGAGAAAACATCCAAGTACCCTAATCCAACAATTTACAAACAATTCCTTCCAGACTTTGGTTTTTGTTTTGTTTTTTTAATTCATGTGGCATGGTTGCAGTCTTGCTCAAACATCTGGCTCTCCTGCAAGTTTTCCATGGGGTAACACAGTCCTGTGGTTGTCATTTTTACTGGTTACTGTTCTACTGTAGGGTATACTGTGACTTGTCACCATTTTTATTGTTTTTGATACTTCACTATTTCAAGTAAGATTCTGTTGAACGGCTATGCAATATGCCATCTTGTTTGGCATCTATTCTTTTTACAAGTTTCAGATTATTTGTTTAAAAGAGATTTCCAAATCTTAAATTATCAACTAAAAGAATCATATTTCAGTACATTACCACTTTTTGCTAGTCACCTCATTCACTAAAATGTTCACCAATGTATAACAGAAGCCATTCTGAAACAAAGGTTATTCCAAGTATGGTAGCTTATTTTTAAATAAGTTCTGACTAACTAAATGAATTCATTTTTAATTTCTCCATCTAGAACAAAAGTCTTGAAATGTTCTTTAGAATTATATTGAATCTATGGCATTCTTCCTGACAAAGGATGTGGTTCCTTTATTAATTTGAAGCTTTCTAATTGGTAAACATTTCGCTGAGGGATTAGCCATTGGGCTTGAGTTGCCTAATTGCTTCTGTCATTTTCCATGCCATTGAACACAAGCCAGGACATTGCAATGGCTGATACGGGCTGACTTGGGTGCGCGTTTTTGTGACCATTTCTGCTTACCTACATCTGCAAAACAGAGGATGAAGAACATTGACAAGATAATCAAGCAAGACAGAATTCCTGTTTTTTCTATTACCTGAAGTTTTCCTGAGTGTATCCTAAGGTTTAATATTCTTATTTATTAGCCCTGGAAGTGCTGCCCCTGAAACTGATTTCCCAGGAATGTTTGGACCTCTGGGAGATCATGTCCCATTAGTGTCAACCACAGAATTGCTGGTAACTTTTGTAACATGCTGACATGTTCCCTCTCCTTTCACACAAGTGGAAAAGTACAAAAAATAAATCTGACCTAAAATTATTTCCAAAGACCATGGGTACTTGTTACTACACACAGAACAAAAGGATTGATTGTTACTAAAGCTTTCCACCCAGCACACCCAGAGAATTCTAGTGAAAAAGTAGAAACCCCAGCCAGTCCTCTGGTATCACCTGCATGATTCCAGACACTCATGTGGATACACATCCTACAGATCAACTGAAATTTCTACCTTTGAATTGTATGGGGGGAGGGGTTGTTTTGTTTTTGAAGAAGCTTGTTTCCCATGACACTTCAAAACTCAAACAAGAGCCATCTTGCTTTTATTTTAAGAGAAAATTTCATCGTTAGATTAAAGTAAAAGGCAAAATAGACGACTCACCTCCGACTCTATTTCTCTGTGAACTGGGAAAACCTCTATTCACTTCCATCCATACCCTGTATTTGCCCTCACTCCCAGCAGGTTGCAGCGGTGGGCTGTGGGATGATGACATCCCAGCAAACGATTCTGCAATGGACATTCCAGCTTGGCATCGTTTTCTGAGTTAGGATAATGCTGGGTAATCCCATTTAAAGCCCTATCCAACTCAAACTTCACAACCGAGCAAACCAGTTTTACAAACCACAGGAACTTAATTTGGCCTCACACTTTCAGTGGAAAAAGAAACACAAAAGAAGAGGAAAAAAAGCTGGTAGCTCAGCTAACAAGCAACTGCCTTCTGGACACGTTGACAGCTTGATCCAGTTAAGAAATATTAGCCATCTATTGACAGATATGAAGACAAAGGTTCGAAAGAGACCAGCAGCCAGGCAAACTGCAGTTTCCAGCCCTATTGAGTCCCTTCAGTTCAGGGATGGGCAAAAGTAGGTTTACAGTTGCTTGTATGCAAAAATACATGCAGATTATTACAATAGCTTTATAAACTCAGAAGAATGTCATGATGCAACTGTAAGCTTTTTAAACAGTGGACAAAAATAGTTTTGCCCACCCCTGTATTTAAAAACACAGCTAGGCGCAAAGAGAACCTGCACTTCTAGGAAATAAGAGCCAAAGTCTAGAAAACAGCCAAACCTAATCTCAGAACAAAATTCTGTTTAAGCTTAACAAAACCTAGGGGACTTTCCTGGAAACATGAAATACCACAGGTTTGCTTATTAATATTTATCCTGGAAAATTAATAAAATCATGGCTTAGATGCACTTCACCTTCCCGTCCCTCCCAAGTACACCTCCTGAAGAAAGCAAACCAAAACAATGTGGTGAAAACTCCTTGGGGGTGTGCTTTCATTTACTCTACAACCAAGCATTTAATTTTTAAACCAAATCTGAAAAAGTCCCGCTGCGGCAAGGCAAGAGCCAGATCCTGCCCTGGGTGAGAATCGCAGTCTCTTCAACTTACCTGTGATTAGCACAGCCTTTTGATCCACAGGTAACAACTCTTGGCCAGATAAGTAAATATACAACAGGAAACATGATAGGGAGAAGAGGACCAAGCCCCAGAAGAGGGACAGGCTGAGCAGGCAAGCCCCTCCCCAGAGGCCTCCCAGGCAGACCACCTTTCTCCGCACCTGTCCTGAGCTCATCTTGAGTTGGCAAAGAACAAGTCCCCCTAGTGCTGCCATGACAGCCAGGCAAAGCCACGCTGTCTCAGAGGGGAGAGTACTCATTCTCAGAGACTCTGCTGCACCTTTTTGCACTCAGGACAAGTGGGCAAAGGCTGGCTAGAAGCAGCCTGAGTTATATGAACTGAGAGCCAAGAAGGGAGGGGGTAAAACAGCCCTGACACATTTTGAATAAGCCTGGATTAATCATACCCACACAGGCACATAGTTCCTAGTGCAGTTTGATATAAATACCAGAGCACTTTCTATGTGATTGCTCTCCCCACACCCATTGCGTGCATGACACATACATGTTCTCACCACAACAAATACGCTTTCATTCTTTAATGACCTCTGGAGAGAAAACTAGTTGGATAATTATTGACAAAATTTGATCTGAATGGTGAATTACAAAACCTCTAGCTCCTAGGAAAATATGCTTCTTTAGGACTCTGTGTTTCATCTGTTTGTCAAATCCTCTTTCAGACTGGTGTGTGTGCATGTGTGTCTGTGAGTGAGAGAGAAGAGAAACCAGGCAACCAGTGAAGTTCAGAAGATAGACCCTGGAGGGAGAAGGCATCACTGATCTTGTCCATGTTCACAGGATTTCTACCACCTCCCACCTGAGTCAGGCTGAAGGGTGGATGAAGAGAGAATAAAAACTAGAAGAGATTCATGGAAGATGAAAAGTGCTTTGGTCTTGCCAGAGGGGGGACATGCCTAGGTGAGATAAGAACAACAATAATACAACTAATAATGCCCCACACATACCTACTGGTACTTATTTGTGCCAAGTGTCATATTTAGCTACTTAGCCATTCATTTTCTATTGAGACCCTATTATCTGCCAAGCTCTGTTCCAGACACTGGCACTCAATAGTCAATATGCTCAGTCTCTTTGAACATAATATCTTTATCAGGGTAGATTCTATCATTGCAGTGATTTTACAGGTGAGACCACTGAAGCACAGAGAGGTTAAGAGACTCGCCCAAGATCACACAACACTGGAGTCAAGCAGGCTTGTTTCAGAAGTGTATGCTCTCTCCACTCTACAGTACTGCCTTTTCTAGGCAAAAAAGACAATCAGTATGTAATATAGTAGGGCTTTCTTACCTTAGCCTCATTCGTACCTTAGGAAACATTTCAAGGTAGGTATTGTTATGCCCACTTTACAGAGAGGAAAAAGGGGACTGGGAGAAGGTAAGTAGTGGATCTGGACCCACACTCATGACTTACTGGGTTGGAAGCCAGCACTGAAAGCTGTGACACCTTACTGACCACCAGAAGCAATGCTGACTATCTGAGAGGGCGCCGACCACCTGGACTATGGCATGCCTTGTGTGTGCCAAGCACCAGAATGCAAATAAAGGCGAGGCACTGGCATATATGGAGAGACAAAAGTTCTCACTTGGAGGTCAGATCACTTGTTTTCAAACCCAGTCTTAGCTCTGCTAAGATAGGGTATGTGGCAGAATACCTGCAATCAAGAAAAGCCACAGAAGCTGTCAAGAAGATAGTAAAACCACACCCTACCCTCCTCCAACCTTCCCATCCCCACTGAATTTATGGCTTAAAACTGTCAGAAACCCACTCAATCTAATATGGCAACTAATTTCACCTAATAGTAACTCCTAGCCTCATCCTATGCTCACAGCAATACGAGAGCATGCTAAAGGACACACCCCCAGCTGCCCTGATCAGAACAGGAAAAGCCCTGCCCTGGCTAAGTGGCTCACTGGGTAGCTCAGTTGATTGGAACATTGTCCTGTGCAACAAAACTTTGCAGGTTTGATCCCCAGTCAGGTCACATATGTGGCTGAAGATTTGATCTGCATTCCGGGCACTGTCTACCAGAGGCAACCGACCAATGTATTGACTGTTTTTTCTCTTTTTCGCTCTCCCTTCCTCTCTCTTTAAAATCAATTAACATTCTCAGGCAAGGATTAAAAAATGAAAGAAACAGAAAGACCACATAAGCACACAAAATGGCTGATGAAGCTTCTCTGAGAAATCTCCTTCCCTTTCCCTGAGAAGGTCCTAAATATTCCTCCCTTTCATTGAATACCCTACCCCACCCTCGACCATTAAATGAACTTCAATAAAGAAAGCAAATTCCACTAAAGGGAGGCAGCTCTGTCTGTGGAGTAGCCTATTCTCTGTCTCACTGCTTCACTTTAAACTCACTTTCACTTTGAACTCTAGCTGGCTTGAATTTGAATTATTTTCTATGCAAAGCCAAGAACCCACAGTGGGTCATGGACTCTCAGGTCCCCAACCCTGAAACACCTACATCACTGCCACTTACTAACTAGGTTGTCCTGAGTGGGTGATATCACCTCCTTAGACCCACCATCCCCTTGAATGTGGAAAAGTCAGCATTTGTGCTGCCTGTCATTATGAGAACCAACAAGTAGAGACAAAGATTGAATCTTTATGGCCACTTTATTCAGACACTGGCTATCTGAGAAGATGATGGGTTTTGTACCCTCAAAAACCATCTTAACATCTCATCTCAAGCCAACCTTTTTATAAGAAGAAGAAAAGGGTAAGGAATTTGGAAAGGAGTTGATCAGATAAGAGTTACAGTCCAGCTGTGATTTTCCTAGTATTTCTTTATCTGCTGATCCAATAATTCTTTTTCTGCATCTTAGATGTTCCCTCCCTGGAACACAGTGGCTCAGATACCATCTCAATTGATTGCTTGTAGACCCCTAGGGCACAAAGATTGAATTACTTGTTGACCTCCTGGAGTCACTTAGGTGATTTATTCCAGTTCTTGGAATAACTGCTTTCCACATACATTAAACTCTTAAGCCTATCAACTATAACCAAAGCTAAAATCTTTAACTCTTGGGTTCCCCTATGACCCTCAGTTATAAAATAATAAAAATATCAAGGTAAATCACTTAACACATTCTTCCTAAGACACCAGAAAGAGCTTCATAAATGCTGGCATTCATAATTTGTGTTTTTAAGTAGGAGGAATCACAATACCTGATATCAAATTGTATTACAAGGCCACTGTAATCAAAACAGCATGGTACTGGCATAAAAACAGGCACATAGACCAATGGAACAGAACAGAGAGCCCAGAAATAAACCCAACCCTCTACAGTCAATTAATATTCAACAAAGAGGGCAATAACATAAAATGGAGTAAAGATAGCCTCTTCAACAAATGGTGTTGGGAGAACTGGACAGCTATGTGCAAAAAAAATGAAACTTGAGCACCAACTTACACCATATACCAAAATAAATTCAAGGTGGATAAAAGACTTACATATAAGCCTTGAAACTATTAAAGTCCTAGAGGAGAACATTGGCAGAAAAATCTCAGATATTTCACACAGCAACATTTTTACTGATATGTCCCCCAGAGCAAGGAATATAAAGGAAAGAATAAACAAATGGGATCTCATCAAAATAAAAAGTTTCTGCGTGGCTAAAGAAAACAGTATTAAATTAAAAAGAGAACCAACTGTATGGGAAAACATATTTGCCAATGATACCTCAGACAAAGGTTTAATCTCCAAAATATACAAAGAACTTACACGACTCCACTCTAAGAAGACAACCAACCCAATTAAAAAATGGGAAAAGGACTTGAACAGACACTTCCCCAAGGAGGACATACAGAAGATCCAGAGACACATGAAGAAATGCTCAATATCACTAGCTATCAGAGAGATGCAAATTAAAACCACAATGAGATACCACTTTACACCAGTCAGGATGGCTATCATAAACAAAGCAACAAACAACAAATGTTGGAGAGGTTGTGGGGAAAAGGGGATCTTGCAGACTGGTACAACCATTATGGAAAACAGTATGGGATTTTCTCAGAAAAATAAAAATTGACCTGCTTTTTGACCCAGCAATTCCACTGCTAGGATTATATCCTAAGAATCCTAAAACATCAGTATCAAAGAACCTATGCACCCCATGTTCATAGCAGCACAATTTACAATAGCCAAGAGCTGGAAGCAACCTAGGTGCCCATCAGTAAATGAATGGATCAAAAAATTGTGGTATATATACACAATGGAATTCTATGCAGCAGAGAGAAAGAAGGAGCTACTATCCTTTGCAACAACATTGATGGAACTGGAAAGCATTATGCTGAGTGAAATAAGCCAAGGGTTGAAAGACAAATACCATATGATCTCACCTTTAACAGGAAGCTAAACAACAAAACAGACAAGCAAGCAAAATAAGGGCAAACACACTGAAATAGAGAACAGGGGGACAACAACCAGAGGGGAGAGGGGAGGGAATTTAAGGGGGAAAAACGGGAGGGATTTAGAGGAACAAGTATAAAGGACACAGGGACGATAGCTAAGGGGGGTGGAAATGGGAGGGAGGTGGGGTGAGTGGGGGAGGGGTGGGCTGGAATGGGAGAAATAAACAGAAAACTGCATTTGAAAAATAACTAAATAAAAATTTAAAAAAATAATTTGTGTTTTTAAACAGGACAGTGTGGGGGAAGAAAAACAAAATTTTCTCCCACCTTTCTAAGTTCTTTTGTCTGGACTATTAATCAAATTAACAGGAGAAAATAACCAAATTTATTACTCATATACACTTTTGGGTTCTCTACGAATAAGAGACCCCAGCACACATTGGGCAGTTGAGGCTTATATGCCATCTTGAGCTTAGGAGAAGTTGGAGGATGAGGGAGTCCTTTGAGACTTCAAAGTGGGAGAAGGCAATTCACACGGAGATGGAAGAGCAAAAGCTCGGAAAATTAATGTTCAATGGGCCATCTTTAAGAGTGGGACACAGAGAGGACTTTGATCAAATGGGCTAAATAGCAAGCTAGGTTCCTCCCTTTCTATCATACCTAGTTCATATTAAACTATAGTTATCTATAAAAGCACCCTTCTTCCAGTACTTCCTCTAAGTTCTATTAGGCAAATTAAGGTGAAGGTTAAAAGGTTTTCATGAGTCTTTTTAAATTTTATTTACTTATTTTTAGAGAGAGAGGAAGGGAGGGAGAAATAGGGAGAGAAACATGGATAGGTTGCCTCTCACATGCCTCCAACCAGGGACCTGGCCTGTAACCCAGAAATATGCCCTGACCAGGAATTGAACAAGCAACCTTTGGTTCACAGGTCAGCACTCAATCTACTGAGCCACACAAGCCGGGGCTTCCTCAGTCTTTTGTTTCTTGCAAATTATAAGCTTAAAAGAATCGGTATCCCAAAAAGCATATTTTGTGGTGA